AATAATGTTAATGTAATTAGGGACTCGTTTCAATAGCCGCATGCATCTTCCGAAATAGTCGATGGAAATATCGAGGACTATCATTTGGCTTCATTCGGCCTTTTTCCATTTCCACTTGCAACAAATTTCCGCAGAAAATCCCTCACTTTCAATCAGTATCTGTTTTTTTTTTTTTTACTTTTTTGGCAAGATATTTCTTCCCAAATGCGTGAAAAATCAGCGACAGCGGCACCCAAGAAGTCAGCGCTGAGGTAAGAGGCACTAACTTGATAGGAATCACTTAGGTCAGTGATCATTCACTGAGGTCAGTGATCATTCATTGAGGTAAGTGACACTTGAGATCATGAGACGGATTTACGTAAGTGTTCGGTTTTTGTGTTTTTGCCTCCATCGCCTTCTAATGCAAGGTCACTCCTTACGGTACACCACACTACAAAAAACCAATGTGCCGCTCCTTTTTGTCTCTGACCTCCATTGTGAATAAGGGTTTTTGCATTGTCCACCTTCGAACTGTGAAGAGCCTCTCGCTTCTACTTGCTATACAAACAATAAAGACTTCACGCTAACTCTCGGAAACTCGCGATACCTAGAGCCGTTACTTGTCTGGGTACCTTGGAGTTCATCAATTTATACTCGCTAAGCCATTTTCACTGTGTTTGAGACTATTTCATTAGATGTGCTGCGTAAATGTTGGCTGGAACTTCTTTGAGGGGTTGATATTAGCGGCATCTATTTCTGCCTTGATTATCCCTTGTCAGAAGCGTCGCGTAAAAGTTGATTTGCTACATAATATTGAGATTCTTGATTTCGGTGTAATATTTACCCCATCAAGTGGCGCAACTGAATCTTCGCATAACGACATATCATCTCGGGCTCACCACAATCAATTTGACTTTTGATTTCCCCCATCTCGCGGAGATATATCAGAACTGAGTGGGGATTATTGAACGTATTCGAGCTAAAAGAAAGTACGTGCGAATTATAAACGACAGAGGGAACTAAGTACCACGAAAACTCTCTGCATATTATGTAGGGTTGCCATAATTTCTTCATGCTCAAATTCTCTGACCTTCCCTAACTTTTGCCTGGCCATTTTTGCCATTCTCTGACTCCAAAATTTTCGGATTCCGACTTTCCGTGACATTATTTGAATAAAACTTCCACTTTTATTTTTTTCCTTTAAATTAAAATCACTTCTGCTAAGCCTAAACAAATTTAATTTCTTGAATTTTTGTTTCAATCTCCTGACTTTTCCTATGGTCGCCGCAAATTCCCTGACTTTCCCCGTTTTCTGGACCGCCAGCAACCCTGAAATACCCCTTTGATCACCCTTTTGATTTAATTTATTTTCACGTATAACGTATACTAGGGCCCACGAACGATGATCCCTGAGCCGCGGGTATTTCTTGCAAACACTGGCAACAGCGACACCCCGGCCCGGACCGAGTCTCGAGTTCGCGGACAATGCCGAGCCGAGCCACAATCGAACCCTAATTACTTACGCGTAATTTCCAATTTCACCCTCCCGCTAGAAAAAACCAAAATTTGTTGAAAGTTGTGTAACATTTTTTTAGCAAGTGTTTCCTTACTCTCCTTTAAAACATGAGTAAAAAGAGGCCTCGTTTATAAAAATCGGTCAAATAGCAGCAAAGTTACAGTTCGAGATACGATGTTTTAAATAAAAATTGGACTTCGCTTCAAAAAGAAAAAGGAAGGAAAAAATAAAAATTGTATATTGCAATTATGTATGATTTAGCTCAGAATTTTACGAGTAATCCTACCATGTAATGAACGAAGAGATTGGGGCAAAATTACAAGAATTTGATCTTTTACGAAAGGGCTTCCTATGAAGAATTTTGACCTGAAGATAGGGGTAGAATAGCAGCAGTTTGCATACAATAACTTTTCGCGTTCACAATACCCGGTCTCGTCGATGTGCAAGCTTGACCTCGCAGCGTTGTCATTTACATGGTCCATACGTTTATACGCCCGACTTTTCAGGGATTATCATTCGTGGGCCCTACTATAGTTCCTGGTGATTTAATTTACTTCAACAGATAAGTACGTTTACCATGCATAATTACGTCCAACTGACTTATCCTACGGTCGAAAGTAAAATCATGCGTTCACAGATGTACTGAGTCATATTTTGCTTCAGAGTTTTCAGCGGGTATTCCGAAAAACAGACAGTTTTCTAATTTTTATTATTCCGAACTTTTATGCTTCCAAGAGATCCTGCTGGGCCTCGGGGCTGGAGTCCTGGCAACACCCTCCACTCCCCAACCCCCTATGTGAGGGGTCCTGGGTGGCAGGTTCGAGGGGATTAATTATGACAAGGTCCAGTTACACGATCAATTTGATGGCTCAATTTGATCGTGTAACTGGACCTAAAAACATATCCGCATATAATGTCTAATTGTAAGTTGGAACGGAGTGGCAACTAGTCATGTAGATTCCCTGATTATAAATTTGGGTGGAGGCGCAAGTCATCGGGGATCTTATGAAGAGACGAAAGGAGCTGCAGTTTGAATGAATGAACAATATAACCCGCCAATAACTTAACGCGCTATACTTGTTTCTTGCGTCTGTCATCTTTGTAATAAGGTCAAATCAGCCTCATAGCTAGCGATCGAATAAAAAAGTTTTTAAATTTCGACAATGATTCAGGTGCTTCAATTGGAGAGACAATCATCTAGCTACTATCGTTATCAGGACTTCTTTAAAGTTTTGAATTTGCAAAAATTGTTCAAGTAAGGATGGAACTAAACCTTATTTCAAATCTAGGTAAAGTATCGTCGTTTACCTAAAGCCTAATTTTTCTGCATTTCGGCGTTTCACAAATGGTTATTGCCGCAAAACATTGTCACGAACCGTGCGAGGTCCCGACAGTGCGGTCCGTAGACGATGGGAGATCCCAAACCTCCTGACAGTAATATGGGGGAGGGGGAGGTTGGCCCAAACCTGACAAAAATTTTTAAAAAGGGTTGGGGCTAAACACTGACTGAAATATACTTGACTTGAAATCTAGGTGAGTAAATGGGGATGGGTAAAAAAAATCGCGGAAAAAAGCCTGACGTCATTCCGAGACAGCCCTAAGCACGCGGCATGGAGGACGCACTTGCAATATATGCGGATCTAGAGGATCCTTGTGGATTGTAGAGCTGCTTTTAAAGGTCAGAAAAGCTGACAGCAATGCAACGGTGACCAGCATCGACTGAAATCAATGTTTTCAAGCAAAATCCATATGTAAAGTATCGAAATCCAAGGAAATTAGCTTTTCAGCTGGTGAGTATCCTCCAGCTCTATCCAAATACATGTTCAGCTAGATCCTAACTTGAACAATTTTCGTCACATTCACAATTTTTAGGAAGTTCCGATAACGACGGTGGCAAGACGATTGTCTCTCCAACTGAAGTAGGAACTCTTGCCAGGACTTGAAAACTTACTTATTCAAACGCTTTCTGCGAAACCAAGTAAAACTAATTAATTCGTTGACAAATGTAAGAAATAAGTAGTGATCGTTGTATAACCGGTGAGGGTAGCTTAGGGTGCGTCAAAAAAAATAAAAGTCTGAAATGTTGCGCTCCCCAGGCGGCAATCGATGACGTTTGGTAAAAAAACGTTTTTGCCAAATTTTGGGCTAATTTCAAGCATTTTAAATGGTGCCAAAGGTCAATTTTGTGGTGAAATTCTGGTTTTTAGACTTAGACCACGATTTTATACAAAAAACCCGATTTTACGCTGAAATCGTGCGTTTACGGGCAAAATGCCACATAACTCAAGTTGTAGAGGATGAAATTTCACTCTAGAAAAATGTCCTTTCAAACAAAAAAAATCAAATCTGACTGGCAAAACGCACTTCGGTATTTTATTTTTTGGTCCTCAGAATTTCTGAGGCCTTACAAAGCACCGCTATTAAAGACTCAATCCTTACCAAATTGAATCGAAAATGGGTATAAATGAACTGTAGGTAAGTGCTAAGGATACACATGTCATCAGATCATCCTCAGTTTTAAAAAAACGTCCCATTTTTTACGCATTTCTCAAAAAAGTATACGACCCGAAAAGCAGGATACTGAAATTATTGCCTTCGACATAGTTGGTAAGTTAAGATACTAATAGAGGTTCGAGTCAATTTTCTTCAGATGAAAAATCGAACATTTTAGTAAGAAGGAGAAGAAGTGGACGAAATGGTGGAGATGAAAACCGTCTGTCCAAGTCACTATAACTGCAGCGCAATCCTTCCGCCGCGGTGCGCCGCGCGAATGTCTGACCAGTTGCATACATGCCTAGTCTCGAGGAGTTTTAAACACACCAGCGGGGCGGGAGAATATTTTTCGACTTCAAGGTCAACGAAGATGAAGCTATCCCCACCACTTTCCCCGCCAGTCGCCTGAGCGGCCAATCAACTGTTCTTACGTATAACACCTTGAAACCGCAGACGGGTGAACAGCTAGGCACCTTCAGTACCCCTCCGATATTTTGTGCCCTCAGTCTTGGTGTCGCTGACGTTCTCTTTCGCGCAATAGTGTGTGAGTTTCTTTATTTGATCGAGAAGTGGCAATAGAGTGCAAATTAAGATGCAGCAAGCAATTTAAAGATCATTACACAGTGAACGTGCAGTTTTAAATTTAGATATCGGATTGCGGAATAGTGCGATTAAAGATGCGAATAAAGAAGTATGCGAAGCTTTTAGAGCCGAAATCGGAAATTACTGCCGAAAAGTATCCGTCTAGAGGGCAAGTGCTCAGTAATTTACTGTACGAACTTAATGTTAAAAAACAATATCTGTCACAAAGTGTGGAGAATGTCATTGACAGAGTGATACCTTTTTGGGTTAAGGCTCGAAGTCCCACATTAAGAAAGGACAAGTGCCAAAAAAAAGTGATACAGCTGTACCAAGAATACAGGAATATTCAACGAATCGTAAATATGAAAAATGCGTTGAAGTATGAAGCAGCTTTTACGAACAGTTTACACCATTTATTTGAAATTGACAGTTCTGATGCTTTAGCGTGTATGAGCGTAGAGGACAGGCCATATTTGCTGTCTGAAAAAGAAAAAGCTAGAAGGGAAAATCAAAACTCGCAAAAAAAGGAAAAAAAGGTGGATAAACAAGTGTTACAGGAAGAATTACCAGGTGAAGGATATGCTGATAGAAGATATCTTGCGTCAAATGAACTTGAAGCTGCACGGAAGCAGATGAAAAAAAAGAAGCGTACCCTTCGGGAAGAAAGACAAAAGCAAAAAGCCGAAGCATATGCTAAGAGACTCTCTGAAAAAATTATATTGTCAGGATCGTCTTCACAAGATTCTAAACCGTCATCTCAAGGAAGTGTTTTTGAGTCTAAGTTACAATCGCCCAAGAGAAAGCGGTTGCAAATATTAGACGAGGAATTGAGTTTAACTTTAGATCGCACGAGAACCTCCAATCGAAACGCCACTTTTCTCATCGCAAAAACCGCTAAATCAATGGGTGTTGATGTGAAGACTCTAACCGTTAGCGAGGCATCTGTGAGACGAAGAAGAGCTGAGCTAAGAAAAAATTCTGCTCAACGAATTCAAAAGAGCTTTAATCCTGACGTGCCTCTCACAATACATGTAGATGGCAAACTTTTACCTCCATTGATGGGTGGTAAGAAAAAGGTTGACCGATTACCAATTTTAGTCACAGGTCACAACATTGATCAACTTTTAAGTGTACCTGCATTGCCCTCTGGCAAAGGTATCTTTATAGCTGAGGCAATTTGCCAAACTGTTCGGGAGTGGAATATAGAGGAGCAAGTCAAATCTATATGCTTTGATACCACGTCCTCAAACACTGGAGTTAAAAGTGGTTCTTGTGTCTGTACGGAGCGAATCTTAGGTAAACGTCTCTTATATTGTGCTTGTCGTCATCATGTTTCTGAACTCCTTCTCGATGCTGCAGTCACTTCTCGCATAGGCAAGAGGAACCAACCTGAAAATCCTATTTTTACCAACTTCCGTGACAAGTGGGAGGATATCAATCCAAGCACCTATACGACGGCCCTAGACGACCCTGACATTCTTGAAAATGTGCAGCCTATCAAGACAGAACTTTTAAACTTCTGTTTCGAGCAACTTTCGGTGAGTTTTCACTAAAATACATTAACATTTTTTCTTCTTTTGGCCAAGTTTTTTAATTTTTAAAGTTTAAAGATCGTTATTGACGTAAGTGACCTTGTATCTCGATCAATCAAGTTCAATATTTACCCGTTGCTTTTGATGACGTCATTTTTTTTACTTAGAAAACATCTTCCTCTTTAATTTTAATTGTAGGAAGTAGCAAATCACGAGTC